AAAAAAAAAAAAAAAAAAAAAAAAAAGAAGCCAAAAAAAAAAAAAAAAAAAAAGAGTACATACTGTATGATTCCATTGATATAAAATTCTAAAAAATGCAAACTAATCTGTAGTGACTGAAAGCAGGTCAGTGGTTGCCTAGGAATGAGGGGTGGCAGGGAAAGGCTGGAAGGAAGGATTACCAAGGGGCAGGAGGAAACTTTTTGGGATGATGGGAATGTTTATTGTTTTGATGAGTCACAACTTAGCTCACTGTACACTTAAAGTATGTCCAGTGTACAGCGTGTCAGTTATACCCCCAATAAAGTTGTTAAAAGTGCCCCTCTTCCTTTTTCAGAGATTAGCTACCTCAGAGCCTTAGCTATACTCTCTGCACCAAGGAGCAGTTTTTAGTCTTTTTCCTCCTCGCTGCATCTGACCCTATTGACCACTTTCTCTTTGAAATTCTCTCCTACCATAAAAATTTTGTTACCTATTTTTCCAGGATTCTCAACTCTGGAGTTTTTGTTCTGGGACTAAAATTAGAATCAGGGTAAGGGCCTGACCACCTGGCTCTCCCAATGGTTTCTTAGGTTCTACTTGTCCAAAACTGAACTTATATTTTCCTCCTCCAACCCACTCTTCCTTTTAAAATTCCCACTGTTTAATGGCATTGCCATTCACCTAGTTGCCCTAGCCAGAAACTGGGTTTTCATACCTATTCTTTTTCCCTCAACCCAACTGATCATGAAATCCTGCAGCCTAAACACCTTCGTCTCTGTATACTCTCCCTCTTGCCAACCTTTCAGCACCTCCCCATACACCCATCGCTGCCTCCATTGTCTCTGTCCAAGCCCTTGAGTGAACTACTATAATAGCTCCTAAAAGATCTCCCTACCTGTAGCCAAAGCTGCCCTGTTCCTCTGCTGTCAGATAGTTTTTTTGCTTAAACCTAATTTTGCTTCCTTCACTTGAAATACTGACATGGAAAACACCAATATCAATGTAGCAGAGACTGTAAGTGTTCAATTCCACACTTGTTGGGCCTTTCAGCACACAGAGATGGTCTTGCCATCACGTTGGGAGTAATGGAAGGTGGGTGGGGGGTACTGCAAGGGGCCAGGCAGAAGCATGCCCAGTCTCTCTGCCTAGAACTGACCATAGTGGCAGTGCTTATGTGGCCATCGTGGCAGCGGTTTGTGAGGCAAGTATAAATAAAATATTTAACCCACCACCTGCCAAGTGGCAGGAACTTGGGCAGCAGAATGATGGTTAGTGGGAGGTTAGACCCAAAAGAGAATTTAAAGGAGTGGATAGTCAGATATGGAAATCAGACAAGGTCATTAGAAACAGTGATCACCAACAAAGGAGCCTGTGATGGTTAATTTTATGTGTTGACTTGCCTACGTCACAGTGCCCAGATATTTGGTCAAACATTATTCTAGATGTTTCTGTGAAGGTATTTTTTGGTTGAGATTAACATTCAAATCAGTAGACTTCAAGTAAAGCAGATTGCCCTCCATAATGTGAGTGGGCCTCGTCCAATCAGTTAAGCCTTTGCCAGAACAAAGACTGACTTCCCCTGAGCAAGAAGGAATTCTACCAGCAGATACCCTTCAGACTGGAACTGTAACAGTGGTTCTTCCGTGGGTCTCCAGCCTGCTGGCCTACCTTGAGGTGATAATCACATGAACCAATTCCTCAAAATGAGAGATTCATTT